CCAAAAGAAGCTCCTGGCTTTGGATGGCCAAGCTCTGGCCATTTAGGAATGAACCAGCAGATGGCAGACCTCTCTCTCTCTTTCTCTAACTCTCCTTTTCAAATAAATACATATACCTTTAAAAAAAAAATTGAGGAGCATCAATGTAAACATTAAAAAAAAAAAAAAAAGATACTGGGCTCTGCCTTAGAGCCGCAAGGCCACTACTGCCCTCCATGTCTCCTTGCACGTGCTCGGGGCCAGGAATGGCCAGCAGCAGCTGCTGTCCTTAGTGATCCCGTCACTGAGTCACCGTGTCAGGAGGACTCACCGGAGCGGACACAGAAGCTCCTGGCGGAGCACCCAGCCAGAGTTACACTCAGCACCTTTCTGGTCACCACTGATTCCGAACCTGTTAAGACGCCGCCTCTGTCACTGTGCGCCGCCTCCTCCATCCATGACTCCTTTGAGTTGTGAGGATTGTCTTTTGATCTGATCCTGTGTAAAGGCCAGGTCTCACCAGCCCAGCCCCTTAGAAATTATCAGATATGTTCAGGTTAGAGGAACTTACCCTGTACATAGTTGCTCTTTCGATAAGAAAATGTAAGTGTGGCTTGGCTCCTCGTGCCTACTCGGGCTCACCTTTGTCATCAAAAAGTGGGACGCACAGGAGGCAGAGCAAGGGTAGCTGAGCAAGAGCCCCCGGCGCTGCCTCTGCGCAGACACCAGTTCGAACAGCTGTGCGGCCACCAGTCCTTCCTGACGAGAGCTGGGGGAGCCGCTGAGGGATACTGGTTCTTGGATTTGAGTAACAATGAGATGCATTGCAGAGGGCTGGAAACAGAGTTGCCAAGCAGCCAGCCTGCAGAGCCACGTCTGTAGGGAGCAGAGAGGAAGTGAAGTTGGCCCAGCACAGTGAAAGCCCACGCTGGGCAGAGCCCATGGCCCCTGACCCTAAGCCGGTACCTTGGACTGAGACTCCGGAGCTGCAGCGGTCCGTTGGCCAAGGGGCTGCTGCCAGCATCCCTGCCCCACCTGAGGGGCACAGCAGAGAGGGAACCCCACCCACTGGGGAGCAGGCAGGACAGCAACACGGTCTACACCGTGCAGAGCACGAAGATGCACAACGCCTTGTAAGGAAGGGAACGAAGCACACAGCGTCTGCTGTTCTCTCAAGAAGGATTTGGTGGGGCCGGCGCCGTGGTGCAGTAGGTTAATCCTCTGCCTGTGGCACCAGCATCTCATATGGGTGCTGGTTCTAGTCCCGGTTGCTCCTGTTCCAATCCAGCTCTCTGCGGTGGCCTGGGATAGCGGTATTCGGATCGCGCAGCTCCAGCCGTTGCGGCCAATTGGGGAGCGAACCAGCAGAAGGAAGACCTCTCTGTCTCTTCCTCTCACTGTCTGTGACTCTACCTCTCAAATAAATAATTTTTTTTTTAAAGAGGGACCTGGCTCAGCAGGAAAGGGGCAAGCAGAGGCTCCCCACAGTGTCCACTGGACCACAGACACGTGATGCAGTTACTGCCCGAGAACCCTGGTGAGCCCAGGATAGCCAACTGCTGGGCTACCGCAGTGCTGACCTGCCCTAGAGAAAGAGCCAGCCTGGCTCTCTCCACACAGCCATCTTCAGATGCCACCCACCTGGGGTCCTGTGAGGCAGCCAGGAGTCCACATCCGTCCTCCCATGGCCCCAGAAAGAACTCGGGCAGCGTGCCTTGAGCAGCGTGGGCAGTGGAGGACCTAGAAAACAGTTGGGCAACCCTGCCTGTCCCCCCGCTACCCCAGAAGTGGCCCGACAGCCTCGCCCATATGTTCTCAGCCCAGGGAAACAACCAGGTTACAAACCTTGAGCTGCTTGGCACACAGAGAGGAACAGAATCAGACAAGCAACCTTGCCCACCCACCCAAGACCCTGAAAAGCAGCTGAGCAGCCTGCCTCGAGTGGGTTGACCACCAGACCCCCAGAAAGCAACAGGTGGCCCCCAAACCTCCTGGGGCCCCATGAAGCAATTGAGCAACTCATTCTCAAAAGCCCAGCCCACTGAGACCCTGACAAACAGGTGCACATTCTCACTGACTCTAAGCCCTAGGAAGCAGCTAGGCAGGCCTCCCTGAGCAGGTCAGACCTCAGAGACCCCATGGATGTAGCCCTTAAACACTGCCAGCTGCCCTCAGACACAGGCTCCCCACCCTACCCTGCTACTGAGCACACTGCATCACACCCACCTGGCCCCACACTCACAACCTGCAGAAACTGACCAGAGTATCCCCATTCCCACCCTCCCGCCAGGAACACCACTCACAGAACAGCTGGTGTACCTGCCCCACCTGAGGGAGCTGTGTCCCAACTGATGGTGTTGCCCCACACCCACTGCCAGCTAGGCCACTGAAATACCCACAGATATCACCAATGTTGATGAGTGGTAGAGAAGCTATGCAGATACCACACTAGAGCCCATACCTAGAACCACAGCCAACACAGCATTATTCGGCCAACACCCTAGGACACATCCCCAGCAGACCCACCAGATGCACAAAAACCAACACGGGGGTCCAAGAAGCATGAACAAACAAGGTAACATGACAAAGGAATACAGTCAGTCTAGCTACAGACCACAAAAAATGAAAAAGAAAAACTAGTTGCCTGACCAAAAAATTAATAATTTTCAGGAAACTTAATGTGATAAGAGAATACAGATATTTCAGCATTAGTACAATTCATGATGTGAATGAAAAATAGAAAGATCATAAGAAATCTTAGAGGTAAAGAATTTAGTATATGAAGTATAAAATACAGTTGAGAGCCTCAGTAGCAAAATTGAACAGGCAGAAGAAAGAATAAGCTTGAAGACAAGGTCTTTTGAAATAACCTAGTCAGACCAAATCAAAAAGCAGTAACAATAAAGAAGGAGGATTTTAAGAACAAAGGAAACAAACCTTTGAGACCTACAGAACACTACATTAAGCAAGTAAACATTCGCAGTTACGTATTTCAGAAGGAGGAGAGAAACGAAAAGGTGTAGAAAAACCATGAAATAACTGCTAAAAATGTTCAAAATTCAGGTCCAGGAAGCCCAAAGGACCTCTAATTTAAAGTCAAACTGTCCAAAGGACAGGACAGAGAATTTTAAACACAGCAAGGGCAAAGTGTCAAGTCACTTACAAGGGAATCCCCACTACATTATGAATGGACTTCCTGGCTGAAAACTTTCAGGAGCAAAGGATGCAACAGTGAAAGGAAGAAAAACGAATGAAAAAAGAAAAAAGAAAGGAAGAAAAAATGCCAGCCAGGAATTCTATACCCAGCAAAATTATCCACCCAACATGAAGGAGAGATACAGACTTCCCCTGACAAGCCAAAACTGAAGGAATTCAATATAAACAAAGCAACCCTACAAGATATGCTTAGGGAGTCCTACATTAGAGGTGCGGGGTGGTAACCACCATCATGAAAATACCCAGAACAAATTCAGCAGGAGAGGAGGTACACAGAAGGAGAAGTAGTATCTAAAAATTCATGTTTTATTTGCTGTATTTGATTTGCTATATGCATAGTTAAGGGTTTTTCACCTCTCTTAAGTGGACTATAGTTATGATTTTTGCTTCCTGTACTCTTAGGTTTTGTTGTTCTCTTGAAATGAATGAGAAAAGCATTTTATCCTTTTTTCTGAAAGAACTTACTGCTACTATTTCTTTTTTAAATGCTTAGAATTCACCAGTGAAACTACTTAAGCCTTTAGTAATCTCGGCGGTGGGGAGGGGAATTTTTTAAATACATATTTAAATTTTTTCTTTTGGCCAGCGCCACGGCTCACTAGGCTAATCCTTCTGCTTGCGGCACCGGCATCTCGGGTTCTAGTCCCGGTTGGGGCGCTGGATTCTGTCCCGGTGCTCCTCTTGCAGTCCAGCTCTCTGCTGTGGCCCGGGAAGGCAGTGGAGGATGGCCCAAGTGCTTGGGCCCTGCACTCGCATGGGAGACCAGGAGGAAGCACCTGGCTCCTGGCTTCGGATCAGCGCAGCATGCCAGCCATAGCAGCCATTTGGGGGGTGAACCAACAGAAGGAAGACCTTTCGCTCTCTCTGTCTAACTCTGCCTGTCAAAATTTTTTTTTCTTTTCATGTAAGTTTTCTGAATTTGTGTTTTTGAAAAAATACATGCATTTCGTATAAGTTGCCAAAATTGTTGGCATTAATTTCCTTGCCATCCTTTAGAAGAGAGTGAAAATAGAGCAGCCACATGATGCGGGGATCCCACAGTGGGATCTAGCACAGGAGATGCAGTCTGGCTGCCCCGAGACTTCTGCACTCCCACTTTTATTGCAGCACTGCTCACGTAGCCAGAAGAGGGCCTCCACCTAAGTGTCCATCAACAACTGAAGACAATGTGGCGGGTGTGTGTGTAATGTAATACTGTTTCTCCACCAAAAAGGCTGAACTCCTGTCATTTGCAATAACGTGGATGAACCTAGAGGACATTATATTCGGAGAAATAAGCCAGGCACAGAAAGACAAATTCCACATAATGTTATATGTGGGCTCTCAACAAGTTGATCTCCCAGAAGTCGAGAGGAGAACAGCGATTGGCGGAGGTTGGAGATGGAAAGAGGGTGGGGGTGGGGGGGAGGTGGATAGGTGTGATGTTACAGTTAGGAGAAACAGAGTCTGGTTTTCAAGACACAGTAGGGTGCAGTTCACAATAATGTGTATTTCAGAATAGCTGAGAGAGGATTTTTTTAATGTTCTCAGCAGAAAGAAATGGTAAGTATGTGAAGTGATGGTTGTCCTAATTTGATCACTGCACAGCGTATGCACGTATTGCAACACCACACTGTTGCTGTAAATATGTCCGTGAAATCATGCCTTGACCCAAGCAAAAGCTCGCGTTAGTTCTCAGTGCAGATTGACTGCCATGGTGCGTGTTTGCTGGAGGACGTGGAGCGGGCTGTTCTCCAGGAGCCGACTCCTAGGAACTACAGCCTTGGAAACCCCTCCCCTTCTCTCTGTGCCCCCCCCCCCCCCAGGTGCATCATTGCTGGCATGGCTTCAGGCAGCATCGTTCTGTTTTACAACGACTTCAACCGGTGGCATCACGAATACCAAACCCGCTACTGACGGTGACGACTGCACAGCAGCCCTGCCCCCGGCTGGGCAGGGGCGTCCCCAAGCATCGTTCTGTTAGAAATAGCTGTCACATCTGAATGTAACTGAAATTTGCTCGAAGAAGCAAAATATTTTTTAAAGTCAATTGCTATTTTTGTAGACTTTGCTTGACACTTGGGGTGGGGGGAGGATAGCAAAGCAGAAAACTGGCCGCTGGGTTCTGTAGTTTAAAAAAAATCTATATTTTTAGTCATAATAAGAAATCTATTTTCACCAATTATGGAAACATACAGTGGAGCGGGCAAACCCACGGATTCTAGCTCTATTATGAAAACGTTTCCCGTTGAGGCGTAATCTTGAGAAACACGTGATTTGAACATGGGAAATGGGTTGTAATACTGGGGCAGGGGGATTTCATTGCTGTACTTCGGGTCCTGTATTTTTCCAAATTGTGCTTCTTCAGGACTGAATTCCTGGGATTTAAACAGGAAGGGTAAATTATGGTAAATGTAATTTAAGACATCTCAATGAATTATTTCTATCAATATTATTCTTTAAGCATGTTTTAGTCATAGAAAATTATGATTTGGGGAAGGCTCTTTTATTTTATTGTGTGGTTAACATAAAGGATCTTAAGTTATAGCAAGTGTGAAATATTTACCTTTTTTTCCCTGATCTGTCGTCTTCATAGCACAACACAGTGAAATTATGGAAAGGCTCTTGGGCTCACAACCTTCATTTTTCTGTTGAAGTAAATGCAAGTACCAAAGCTCACCTGAGGTCTGACTGTGCGGCTCCCCCTCCCCCCAGCATTCCAGAACGGAGGGCCACCAGGTGCTGTGTGAAGCAACACCTGTTTTATCTTCTATTTGTTATTGAACTCTCTCCACCTTCCTTTTGATTAGCAATTTGTACTAAGAAACAATGTTATTTTGGTGTTGTATAATTCTACTTTTCTAGTAGACTGCTGTATGGAATTCTGTGATAAACATTTGAGAAAAGGTCTGTATTGCATAAATAAATTCTTTGTATGTTGTGAACTTCTGAGTTGAAACTGACCCTTTCTCTTTCTCCCATGCAACTTCTACACATTTAGTTCTTCTCTAAAGGCGAAGATTTGGAGTGAACAATTGCGTTTGACACAAAAATTGAAATACCAGAAATATCTTTTTCATTCCTAATTTTTAAACATTGATTAAGAACAGTTATTTACACTCACACACACACAAATGCTGAACTCTGGTTCAGTCACAGTTTTTGATCGATAATCAACAAGGTTCTCCTGACTGACAGCAGGTTCGCCCTAGCCAGATGTTACCCTTTTGTTGGGACGGACACAAATGATGTAGACCTGCATCTTACAAGTGATTGAACTCAGGGCTCCATGCACCATTCCATTACATTATTATTTTATAAACCATTAAGAAAGAACAATAGAGTAGAACATGAGGAAAGCAAAGTACATTCCAGAATCAAAGAAATGGCCATGTTCTCTGTAATTAACTGATTAAATGCCTCCTGGTAGTAACAGAAAGATTTTGTAAAAGATTTATTTATCCATTTGAAAGGAAGAGTTAGAGAGAGAGAGAGCGCGCGCTCTGAGTCCGCTGGTTCACTCCCCAAATAGCCGCAACAGCCAGGGCTGGGCCAGGCTGACTCCAGGAGCTTCTTCCAGGTCCCCAGTGCGGGTGGCAGGGGCCACACATGTGGACCATCCTCTGCCGCTCTCCCAGGTGCTGGATAGGAAGTGCAGCAACCGAGACAGGAAATGGCACCATGTGGGATGTTGGTGGTGGCAGCTTAACCTGCTGCTCCACAACACTAGACCCAACTTGCAAGTATTATACTTTGGAAATTTAAGGGGTGAAAGGTAGGAGAAGAAAATAGGAACACCTAAGTCATATGCCAGACATAGGCTACACCTGCTGCCCTGAAACCTAAAACAAGGCCAAGAAAGCAGCTTCCTCTTGGAGCCTTAAAAGAAAAAGAGTTAGTGTCCTCACTGCCTTGTTTGTAAGATTACAACTCCAGCCAGTTAACTGAACATCCATAATGTCTTCCTGCACAGAACAAGCCCAGCTGGCATCAACACCAGGGCTGCGTCATGAAAGGGTCGGCTTCGTACAGTAACTGTCAGGATAGATGCAATATTCACCTTTTCTATCCAATTCTAACACCTTAAAAAATTCCATGACATCAAATGAATGTCAGCCAATTAGGAAATAAAAAGAATTAGAGGTGGTTGAGGATAAAACTGAATGGCCTGCGGGGCCGGCGCTGTGGCGCAGTGGGTTAACGCCCTGGCCTGAAGTGCCGCCATCCCATATGGGCACCGATTCGAGACCCGGCTGCTCCACTTCCCATCCAGCTCTCTGCTATGGCCTGGGAAAGCAGTAGAAGATGGCCCAAGTCCTTGGGCCCCTGTGCCCACATGGGAGACCTGGAAGAAGCTGCTGGCCCCAGATCGGCACAGCTCTGGCCATTGTGGTCAATTGGGGAGTGAACCAGCAGATGGAAGACCTTTCTCTCTCCCTCTCTCTCTCAACCTCTCCTCCGCTCTCTGTGTAACTCTTTCAAATAAATAAATAAATCTTTTAAAAAGAAAACTAACTGGCTCATGCCAGGGGGCAAGCGAGGCTGCACATCAGTGAGTGGACGTGGCTCTAAGGGCCGGCTGTGTGGTTTACAGGCTGCAGTTTAAGGCTGGTTTTGAAATGCATTGCTTCAAGAAATCATGTTCCTCCTCGACATACCGATTTTCAGTAAAATATAACGAGTCAAGTGCTTAGAATTCTGTCATTTAAAAACTACCTCTACATCTCTGCAGGAAAACAAGAGGGCACAGGAAGCAGAGAGCATGGACATTTGAAACACTGGTAAAGCTGGTAGACAGTTTACTCTTAAATGAGCAGCTTATTCCCAAAGAACACATACTCACAAATAACTGGTTTTATAAATTAATTCACTAAAAGTCTATTTTGCCCATTGAAGAACTCTCACACCTCAGTTTTTAATTCAGCAGACAAAAACAAGAAATTGCAGAATACCCTGTCCAAGAACTACGAGCGGGCTGAGGGCAGCGACGTACGGCCCAGGGCTGCCCTTCATCCAGCTCCAAGAGCAGAGCTGGGCCGTCGAGGGTCAGCGGTCTGAGCACACACACTTGGTGCCGGGTGCCTTCCCACCTACCCTGCTGTTGGCCGGGCAGATGGCAGTGCTCCTGAGTCAGGTGACCAGGGACGCCTGGGACGCAGCTACACCGGACCCATTCTGCCCTTCTCAGCCACTGTAAGTAGATTAAAACAGCACGCAACACTTCACCTCCTCCAACACAAGAGTTTGGGGTAGATTTTCATTATGCGTCTTTGATACTTTTTTCCACTGGCTGTCTTACCAAGAGCTCCTGGCCATGCAAATCATGGTTTGGCCCTTCCCACTCCGTCTGTCCTACCCCATTCCCATCGCCGCAGAAGAGCTCAGCAGACCAGTGATACAGCATATTCCTTCCAGAACGAGACGCAGGCGTGTCTTTCGCCTAAACGCTTGCAAGATTCCTGCAGCTCTGCCAGTTCCAGTGCGTGTTAGGCCGCAGGGTAGCAGTCAGCCCCACAGCCTCGTGACAGCATGTCCACAGCATAGAAAGAACATACTCGCCACCTCAAAATCTGAGTAAATGCACAGGAACAAGCCAGTGCCTGCTGTTGGCCATTTCTTCCCTCCCACAATCCTTTGCTGCTTCAACCCAGAAAGCAGCCGGCCTGGACTACCCACCTTTTTTGTGGCATAAAGTCCAATCCTGTAGGCGTCACAGGTTACCATGGCAGGGACACAACAGGCTGGGAAGTTTTCAAAACTTGCTCCTTGTAAGCAAGAAGGCACTGGCAAACAGCAAATGAACAACAAGAGACAGACAGAAGTCCTCCTGTGTTTGCTCTCCGAGGAGTGGAAGGAACGGCTTTGGGATTTCTCCCATAGACATACTGGGAAGCGTGAGTCTGTGACAACCGTGTGATCAGATCGCTGTGGCCACAGACGCCGCCCAGCACTCCTGCCTGGCTCCCACGAGCCTGACCATCACACTAAGATGCAGTGTGCTTGGCTAACTTGGACAGGGCAGGGGGCGTGGCTTCAGGCAAGCGCTCTCTCTTCCGCAAAGTGAGGCAGGACGGGTTGGGCAGGCTGTGTGTCCCCCCCCCCCCATACCCGGCAGCAAGGAGCCAGCCTCTGTGGCTTTAGTCTCGGGGCATTTGAAGGATGTCCCCAGACCCGACTTGGGACACTCCAGGCGTGACACCTACATGTGGCGCAGGTGTATGGGAAGGGGCAATACCTTGTGAATGACCAGCTCCGCTCCAAACCTACCCTTTTCTCCCTCTTGGCCTTTCAGTGCCGGCGAGACCTCCTCCCAGCTGTCTCCCAGTCCAGGGCTTTGGCTTGTATACAGCTAAGCCCCTTAACGCCTCCTGGTCAAGACCACCGACGTCGCACGTAGCAGCTGCCCTGCTGCTGAACGGCAAGTCTGAACGGCCATGAACTTGCCCCTTACTGCTCAGCCTCCTTGGCTTTCTGCCACTTTGTCCTAGAAAATCTCCCCACCCCACCTCCACCTTGTTACAGCGCAGCACAAGGACAGCCCCGTGACAGCGTCCCCTGCCCTAGAAGCCACAGGCATCAAGTCTCAGCTCCAACAAGCGCGGATGAGGCCCCATCCCGAGATCCTCAGGGCCACGGGGCTCCAGTGACACAGGAGGAAGTGCCCCGTGGACCGTGAGCTTTGTGACTGTTCTTACCCGACATCCGGGAGTTTCTAAGAAGGCAGTGGTTCTGCCCCTGGACCGCTCTGCCACTGGAATATCACTCTGGCCCTGCACATCGCCCATGTGTGCTTCCTGCCCACTGCCCTGCGGCTTCAAGGGAAGTCGCACCCCCTTCCACGAAACAGTTCTTTCTGCAGGGAGACTTCATGGGAAAATGGAATTAAAAGGCTTATTTTGGTGCAAAGAAAATTTTCAGTGAACTTTTTGAAGACCTTGCATATGCCTGGGTTTCACGATTTTTGCACCGAAGTAAAATCTCTTAATCCCTCTCTGCATGGACTTTGGAAGGTTTGGTAGCTTTTCCTACCAGTCTGTGGTGACCCTTGCCAGGGAGTCCGATTCCCTTGCCTCTGTCCCGAGTGTCCTCTTTGGAGGTCACTGCCATCTGCACCATGTGCACCAAGGCCTCGGACAGAACTCCGCACCTGTGAGGGCTCTGTGCAACCCTGGCTTCTAATGACTCGGTGAGCACTGAAGTGCTCCGCTCCCAGATCTCTGACATGAAGCAGGGTTATCCATCAAGGCCTCGGTTAGTTACCCGCAGAATCCGCATGTCCAAGCACTGACTTCACACCCCAAGTGTGAATGCATCAGCATTCCCACCTGCTGAAGTCATTGTAAGCGAGTCCAAGCCATTCAAAACAAGCATTTTTTAAACATTCACATTGAATGTAGCAACACAAACCAAAGACAGACTGCACTGTGGCCTCATCTTTAGGGCCCCACTGGTAAGGCAGCAGCTCCGGCAGGTCTGAGTGATCTCGGACCCTGGCACCGTTCCCGGACCCAGGGCCGGCGTGCCAGGAGGGCAGATCCACGCTGCGTCCCCAAGTCGCAGGATGGAAGGAAACGGTAAGGTGTCCTAGTGGTTTTTCACGTTGACTGCGCGCTGAAATAATGCTTGGGATGTATTTAGCCATGTTGAACTTTCCCAGTCCAAAAACCTGGAATCCACAATGCACCAAAATCCAAAACTTTGAGCACTGCCATGATTCCACAAGGGGAAATTTCCACATTTGACCTCACATACAGGCAACAGTCAAAATGCAAGTGGACTAAAAATGGGCTATAAAATTACCTTAGGCCATGCGGTATAAGGTACGTATGAAACATGAGTGAATTTTAAGACTTGGGTCTCATCCTCAAGACATATTATGTATATGCAAATATTCCAGAATCGGGAAACAACCAAAACCTGGAATACTTCCTGTCCCAAGCATTTTAGGTAATGGACACACGGTCTGTATTAGGTTAAATAGGATATACTATAAAAAATGAACGTCTCCTGTTCCTTTTACATTTCTTTAGTGTGGTCTAGAAAATTTTAACTTAGCCAGCTTGTCTGCATCTCTAAGGCACAGCGTGTGGCTCAGGAGCTCTTGGCCCAAGGCCACGTTCATCAGCACTCTTCCCACGAGGACACAGCCGCACTCACGGTCCCCCAACTTCACCACTTTGACCACAGAGCTACCTGGGGAAGCTTTGCCAGAAGCCTTTAATCCATGTTTCCAGTATATTTCAGGTGCAACAGCCTTTGTGGAGAGAGATGAAGACTGAGAGAATGAGACTCAGCTCCACAGGTCACCACTGCCCTTTTTCCACCTCTCCTCCAAGGCCCATTTCCTTGGACATCAATCCCCAGCCCAAACCAGGGACTGTAAAACAGGCATGCGCCAGTCTCTGTCTAGGATGCAAGGAACGCAGCAATTAAGCACCGGTAATTAATCTGATCCAGGGAACAGAATTAGAGCTTAATACATGAGGGCTAAGCAAATGGGTAAACAAACAGCTTTGCTCCTAGATGTCAAACTTCTGTTGAGGATTGCTATTTAGATGGCCCCTCCCCTCCAGCCTGGGATACACAGTACCTCCAAAAGTAGGAAGGAAAACCTGGAAGTGCCCTGGGCCTCCATTGTCTGCTAATTCCGGGACCTGGGATGTAGAACTTCTCGGATTGTTCCTTTGACACCGTGTATTTCTCTGGGAAGGTGGGCACCTGGCCTAGTGGCTAACTTGCCGGGTAAGACACCTGCTTCCTCCCCCCCCCCCCCGGCCATGTTCGAGTACCTGGGTTTGATACCCAAGCCCAGCTCCTGACTGCCACCCATGCCGGGCACCTGAGCTCCAGCCCCCAGCTTCAGCCTGGCCCAGCCGCAGCCACTGCAGGCGTCTGTGGAGTCAAGGAGCAGATGGAAGATCTGGCCTATGAAATGAAAAAGACAGCTTGGCACTGCTGCCACAGCTGGTCCCTGCTACCTCCTGTCTTCATCGAATTCCCACAGCGGGTGGGAGCATGACAAGAAGGGGTCCCCCTGTCCCCACCAGAGACTGCCATGGCCCTCGCCACTTACTGAGTCTTCAGCAAATGTCACAGTCCGAGGGAGGGAGTCAGGTTTTAGGTTCTAATCAGAGCCAAAGCCCGCGTTCCACTGTTCTCTTCCCATTAGCTCTTCCCTCCCCCACCAGAAATACTCGCACTGAAAGCAAGGTAGAGGCTGGCTCTGCCACCAGTGAGGAGACACCAGCGGAGTCCCCGCCACAGCGTCGGGCCCACGGAGCCCACCTGCTCCAGGCCAGGCGTCGCCAGGGCTGGCCTGGCCTTCAGCCAGGTGAATGAAGAGGTCTGGGAGCACAGTGGCTGGTTTTAGGCCTGGGAAAGTGGGGGCCAGAGCTGGCACCAGGCAGCCTGAGCCGCAGGCGGGCAGTGAGGGAAGCAGACAGGAGCCCCACCACCCCAGGGAGACACACAGACACGCAAGGCAGGAGCTGCGGCCTCCTCACTGCCTACTGGCCTGGGCTTCCTGCTGCCGTCGAGATCCCACAGGTGCCTCCCGGGAATCCGTACATGCACCCGGAGCTCTTTCTGTACCTGGAACCGCACTGAAACCAAGGCACGTTCGTGGGTTCTTCTCGAGCCCTCTCTGTCCCCACGGTAGCCCAGACGCGGGCACCTGCCAGGGCCTGGGCCCTGCGTCCTTTGCAGACGCACCGCACAGAAACGCTGACCATCCTTGACTGCTTTTTTTCTCAAGAGGGAGGAGTTTATTGCAGGTCGGGTACACTCAGAGAAGGCAAAAATCTAACAAAGAGAATGAACGCGGGGGCCCCCGGGTTTAAAGGGTGAGCAGGAAAAACAAATACAGGGATTATGTACACGTAATTATTAAAAAGAGCAGGGTGGCGGGAACAAGGAAAAACTGCCAGCAGCCTTCCACGGGGTTAGTGACAGAGGCCATGGGCGCAGCACCTTGGGGGCGGCCCTCACCGTGCCTGGGGGCGGGGGGGGGGGGCTTCCTCCGGCCCCTGCCCCAGGTGAAAAGCGGTGGACAGCAGCCCCCGCGGCCGCGGGAGGGAGGCGGGGGTCACTGGGGGGGAAGCCGCGCCCGGCCCGCCCGCCGAGCCTCTCCTCACGGCCCCAAGGGCGGCTCCATCAGCGGTTCCTAACACGCGTGTGGGGAGGGGCAGGGGCAACACATGGCGTCTGGGGAAGAGGCGGCCTTGTTCTGTGTCTGTGTACAAATAAATACCCGGTGCGGCGCAGTAGTGGGCGCTGGGAGCGCTTCTCCAGGGTCGGGCCTCGGGGCCAGCCTGTCCTCGTACGCGCCCATTTCTCCGACCGGCAAGCCAAGCCCCGCGTCACCTCTCAGGGGACGAACGCAGGCAGGTCCAAGGCCCTTGTGGCGGAGCGGGGCGCACGCTGAGTTCTCCGTGGTAAAGGAGAGGTCCGGGCTCTTCCCGAGTGTTCCGTAAAAACGCGTCTAGCGCGGGAGCAAAGCGGCTCGGTCTCCTGGTGAGGCTGCAAAATGTCCATCGGTGACTGACAACGAGTCCCTCCGGGTGTCTGTCACCGAACGTGGCAGGGCTCAGGAGACGTCCGGGTAGAGAGGGAGACGAGGCCAAGCCGCCCGCGCTGGCTCCAGAGGCGGCCCCAGCCCCCGCGCTGAGGACCCGGCCGCAAACCCGCAAAGCGGCTGCCGGGAGGGAGCGCACGGCTCCCGCGGTGAGGGCCGAGGCTCAGTCTCGGTGGCGGCGCCAGGTCCCTGCCCGCTCGCCGCCCGCAGCAGCAGGGGGAGAAGAGGGCGCGGGGGGCTGCGGAGGGGCAGGGGCCGGGGCCTCCGCTCCGGACACAGAGGGCTCCTCGGCCGGGGCGGGGATCGGAGAGGCCTGCTCCGTCCCGGGTCTGCTGCCGTCTTCACAGAAGTGCTTGCTGCCGAAAATCTGCCCCTCCTTATCTAGAGCCGTGTTCTGGGGAGAGACCGAGAGAGGACCCAGTTACCCCGGCCCACGCTCAGGTCCCAGCCACCACGAGCAGAGAGCACGACAGAGCATGCACGGGACTCAGAAACAGAAGAGGAGAAATAACACGGTCCTACAGGAAAAGCAACGGTTTCTGGGGCCCTGTGCCCCTGCCCCTGCCACCGCCTAGCTGCTGGCGCCGGTGCCCACTGCCTCCTCCAGCGTGAGCCGCACCGGATTGAGTGCTTCTGCTCCCAGCCAGACCTTCAGCGCTAGCCAATTGTAAGTCACCATCAGCAGGTGCGAGGAGGGTGCCCAGTCTCCCATGGACTTCTTAAGATTTCTTTATTTATGCAGAGAGAAAAGGAAAAGACAGAGGGAGAGAGAGAGAGACAGAATCTTCCATCTGCCGATTCACCCCCCAAATACCCACAACAGCCACATCCGGGCCAGGCCAAAACCAGGAGCCCAGAACTTTATCCAGCTCTCCAGCATGGGTGGCCCAGGTCCGAGTACTCGGCCATTCTCTGTTGCTTTCCCAGGGGGTATTAGCAGGGAGCTGGATTGGAAGCGGAGCAGGTGGGGCTCAAACTGGTGCTCCCATACGCGACGCTGGCATCGCGAACTGTGTCTTAACCCACTGGCCGCCACACCAGCCCGCAGGGTATAGTTTTCTAAACAAAGTTCTCCCCAACACTGAAAAGGAATGCTTATGTCGTATGAATAAGCAGTCCCCTCGGGCCTTGCCACCCAAGGGGCTGTGGAACTTACAGAAGGCCCTGGAAGCTGACAGAGCAGCCTTCCAGGCCCTCCCTCATCTCCTCCTTGCTCTCCTCTTTGTGGGGAGATTTTATCTTGGCACCCACACACGTCATCTGTTTCACTCTTCCAGGAGCACAGAAACAGCCACAAACATGTGGGCGAGGGGCCGGCGTTGTGGCACAGCTGTGGCTTGCAGTGACCACGTCCCAAGAGGGAGCGCCTGGGATTGAGTCCTGGCTGCTCCACGTCTGATCGAGCTCCCTGCTAATGCATCTGGGAAAGCAGCTGATGATGGATCAAGTGCTTGGGCCCCTGCCACCCACGTGGGGGGCCTGGATGGAGCTCCTGGCTTCGACCTGGCCCAGTCCTGGCTGTTGTGGATATCTGGGGATTGAACCAGTGGATAGAAGTTCTGTTTCTCTCTCTCTCTCTCTCTCTCTCTCTCTCTCTCTCTGTGTGTGTGTGTGTGTGTGTGTGCCTGTGTGCGCACACTCTGCCTTTCAAATAAACCTTTTTTTTAAGTGTGGGGAAATCACCTTGCTTTGACCCTAAAATGGGAAGGGAGACCTGGTCTTTCCCGGTCCTCTGACCCAGTTTGGGTACTGGAGTGTTTGCAGAGTGGGCTCTCGGGGGCTCCGGGCACCGTCAGCTGCCAGATCCACAAGCACCGCCAGCTGTGACCTAGGCAGCCTGGCGGAAGGCAGCACTTGAACAAGCCAAGTCCTGGAGCAGGCGGGAACAGGCAGAGCCTTCTAGGTTAGGCCCATGGGGCTCCATTCAAAGCACCGGCTGCCAACTGCAAAACGGGCCCCGCCAGATTCAGGCTGAGCAGTTGGCAGTGCCCTGGTTCAACTGCCCCGAGAAGCGGGAATGACGGAAAAGCCTTGTTGGAAACCCGGCTTCCCCGCTCCCGGGGGCAGAGGCGGCCGAACCCCGGCGCGGTGACAGGAGCCAGCGGCCCTCGTTCCCTCCACGTCCCCAACCACCCCCCATCCGTTATTTCTCCTTTTCTCCTCCCGTCAGTGCGGCCCAGGGAGCAGCGCGGTGCAGCGAGTACATACCATGGCCTTGGCCCTAGTCAGGGGAGGCAATGCAGGCGGCGGGAGAGGCGAGAGAGGGGGGAGAGAAGCAGGGACAGAAACTCGACTTACTTTCAACAGAAGCAACACCGTTCAAACAGTTTTGTCTCAAACCAATGAAGAGACCCCGCTCAGCCCCGTCTGCCCCGCAGTTCCCCAAGAGCGGCGGGCTCGCCTTTGGCCTGTGCCTCGGCCCTTCCCTCCGCGGCCACGCAGCTGCGGGATGCCCGCGCCAGCCCCTTCTCGGCCACGGGAGGCCCGCCCTCAGCACGGCCAGGGGCGCTCAGCTTCACGCCAGGCTGCTTCTCCGCGCCCTGGCGGAACTACGCTTTGGGCCTAGGAGGGGGGTGTGGAGCGCAGTGGAGTGAGCGGCAAGTTCCAGGGATGCGTGGCGGCTGAGTGGGCGCCAGGAGGAAGCGCACTGCGGGGCGAGTACCAGCTGCTGCTGCGGGGGCTGCCAATGTCTCAACAGGGCAAAGAACGGGCGCTGAGGCGGCGCTCACACTGCCAAATCAAACTGTCAAACAGAACGCAGACAACAGCGTCAACTTTACTGTGCTTCACCCTCATTTACCACTTCCTCTCCTAAGCCTTATCTCAGCGTTGCCCCCAGGCACGGGCTCCAGGTCCAGGGGCCTAGGGCAGCGACCCAGGGGCTGATTGGCCATTACACACGGCCTGGCCAAGCAGAGTGGGCCTCAGGCTATTTCCACTGTCGTCTGCGTCTGCAGGAACCGATCAGCCTCACGTAACCACTGACAAGGACTGTGGACATCAGGGATTGGCATCCTGGTTATCTTCAGTACAACACTGGAAGCCGTCCCCAAGGGCAGGCCACACAGACACAAGCTAATGGTGATGAGGATGAAGACACAGAGCGTCCCAAGCTTCCCCCACACAACCATGCCCTGGACCAGGTCCAGAGTAGGATGCCCCTGAGCAGGAGGCCTTCTCCTCCCACCGCTTTGGGGGACAGGCCAGATTTGGGGGACAGGACAGTTCTTGGCCATGAGGAATGAATGGGTCCTGACCAGGGCCGGTTGAACAGATTTTTCCCACGAGTTCCCAATGTGATGAGGTCATCCAGCAGCTCCTCAGAGGCAACCACTGCAGAGCTGTGTAGGGAACACGAGGGGAGCGGGGACCCTGTCAACATGCGCAGCATGACAGCCTGGGAACACATGGACACGCACACACGTGTTCACAAAGAACAGAGGGGTGTGCGCTCACACAAGCACTCACGTAGAGCTCAGGGTTTTGACATCTGACAGTGGACCCATGTCACCCGGAAACCATCCACACAGGTTCTGTCTACACCTCATCAGTCAGGACAGGAACTACGCTGGCCACTTGTCACAAGAGGCTGGCTGCAGGCCTCTAGCCACTGATTCCTATGCAGCCCCCAAGGCAAGGATTCCCTTGAGAGTCACAGTGCACTCTCCTTAGCCCTGAGGCTTAATTGCCGTGGTTATTAGAGTTTGATTCCAACTCAGCTCTCTTACAGCTTTTCATGATGTGCTGAGCACACCAAATTTTACTGTCTTTCTACATGTTCCCGGAAAGTGGCTTACGCCCTAGTGCACAACAGGCTACACACTACTGTCCCATCCATCAGTGCTGCCTCTCCCATGGGAATCACTGGCGGATGTTCGCGTGCTGTGGGCCCAGTCGCGATGGCTGCCCTCGGTCTTCCTCAGACTCTCAGCACAATGCCACTAAAACGCTCAGAAAAACCACAACTCAAGAAAACCTTCCCATCGTCCTGGCACAGGGACCCCAGCGTCCAGGAGAGCACACTTCCTGGCAGGGGACACAGAGCGGTTGCAAGGATATACAGAGGTGTCAAATAAATGCAGCTCCTGGGAGGAGAATGAAGGCCCCTGCGAGCTGCCCACAGTGGATGTGCCGTGGGTGCAGCCCAGAGCACCTCGCACACAAGGGGTGTGCAGGGGTGTGGCCTCCTGTGTCCACCTGGCCCCAGCTCCCAGAGAGACACATGCCACGACCACGACCAGCAGCTGTCCCTCTGGCTGGCCAGGAAACAGACCCTTCCTGGAGAAAGAGGAGCCTGTTGTGAGGCGGGAGAGGCTGCCCTGGAACGGGCCCCCACAGCCGCCAGAACCCGGTGAAATCAGGGTGATGGTAGACATGCGGACACCCACTGCCTTGGAAAGTCTCACTCTGAAGCTGCCCCAGCTGCCTCTCTGGCAGAGGGAAAAACAGCCCCACTCCTGTAGTGGGCTGCAGCAGGCAGAGCTGTCTACGTGCAGTGCTGGCCGGTCTGTACCCGGGCAACAAGCAGGTGGGGGATACTCAACAGTGTCTTCATGTCCCACTTGATGAGCTGGGGTAGGGTGTGCTGGCCTCCCTTTCGGCCCAGTTTATTTCTTCTGCTCTTTTTTTTTCCTTCATTTACTTCCATGTTACTTTTCCTTTTAATTTATGGTGTTAAGTATATAAGTAAGCTGTCTTAAAAAATACTTTTGGAGCAGGTGATTGGCACAGCAGCTATCCCATGTTTGAGCACCTGGGTTCCAGTGCTGGCTGCCCTCTCCATTCCAGCTTCCTCTAATGTGCACCCTGGGAGGCATCACTGATGGTTCAAGTATCTGGCTTCCTGCTACCCAGGGGAGACTTGGAGCATTCCAGGCTTCTGGCATCAGCCCAGCCCTGGGGAGTAAACCAAAAGATGGAAGACCTCTCTTTCAAATAATTTTTAAAGAAAAATGAAGTATAAAAACCTATGGTGATCAACATTACAGGCTTCTCATACCATTTTACCAATCCTGAGAACTTTTTTTAAAAAACATTGTTCACTTTTAAAAGCTTCCAAACTGTCTTTTGTAATTTTTACTTTAATTATATTTGTTTAACTATGGGCATCTCTTAACCCAAGTGCCAAAGAATACTTCATGCTTCAATAATCTTTGTTTTTAAATTTTTGATTTAATTTCATTTTTTACTTGAAAGGTAGAGACAGAGAGATAGACTTTCCATCCATTGGTTCACTCCTCAGATGCCCCTCACAGCCAGGCCAAAGCCAGGAACCCAGAACTCATTCCAGGTCTCATGGGTAGATGGCAGGAACCCAAGTTCTTGAGCCATCACTGCTGCCTCCCAGTGTGCACATTAGCAGGAAACTGGATCAGAAGCAGAGGATCCTGGCCTTGAACTAGCCCAGAATCCAGACTATGGGAATTGGGCATCCCATACAGGGATTTAGCCACAACACCAAATGCCTGCCTGCCCCATAATCTCTTTTTGAAGCTCTGAATCGGCAGGGAGCTACTCTACTGTAAACAGCACCTGGGCTTGGGACGCTGTCTAAATGAGAAAGCAAAGACAAGAGCGGAAACAGCTACCTGGGAGGGCCAGAGCCTGGGAGCTCCTAGGCATCAAGACCCATGAGACCAGTCTTGTTGGTACCCACGCAACCCCTACCCCACAGTGGCCAAGGCCTGGGCGTCTTGCCATGTGAGTGCCCTGTACGTGCCATGCCAGTGTTTAAGTGAAAGGGAGAACATGGAAGGAAGCAGCTTCCATGGGAGAGAAGCTCTTGGCTATCTACTGCTCAACATTCAAGGCTGGCTCGGCAGCAGGCCAGACTCTGCCGCTTCCCCTGGCACCCACTTACCATGATAACTGAGACCCCGGGGGCGGTGCTGTTCTGTTTGGGAAGCGCATTATTAAAGTGCTGTTTTAGTTTACCTGTTACCTCAGCTTGCATGTTATTCTCCTGGGAGGCATCGTCCTACAGAAAAGAAGCAAATGCAATGATTTTTGATCATCATCTTTGTCATTTCCTTAACAGCCACTGCCCACCGCCTAACCACTTCCTTAATGGGCCCATCTTAGCCACAGAAACAGGGGGAAATGATCTTTCAAAAACAGTAATTATTGGAGGTGGCATTTAGCTTAGCCAACACCAGTTAAAGTGTCTGGGTTCAATATCTGGCTCCAGCTCCTGACTCCAGCTTCCTGCTAATGCAGACCCTGGGGAGCAGTGGGGATGGCTCCTGTAGCTGGGTTCCTGCCACCCATGTGGGAGACCTGGATTGATTTCCCAGCTCCAGACTTTGGCTCCACCTGGGGGCCACTGTAGGCATTTGGGGGAGTGAACCAGCAAATGGGAGCTCACTTTCTCTCTGCCCCTTGTTGGTAGTCCCATGCCCCCAAAGAGACTCCATACCATTCACTCTGCTTCTGAGGCCCAGAGAAAACACCAGTCTCAAGTGGCACGAAGTGGTCCCTCTTTAGGCTTCTGTACTTTGGTGTGACCCCCTCCCCCAGAAACATCAAAATTCTATCATTTTAATCAAGAGTCATTTGGTTGGTAGTCTTTAGTGCTCATGTAGAAATGCAGCATCCCAACTACTCGGTCTAAGAGCTAAGTCCCTTAGTCTAAGAGAGAAGTGAGTAGGATCCACTGAGGCTACACTTGGATATCAGGATATAGGGGGCTGTGGCTGTGCAAAGGGAACCCCTTAAATTCAAGTTAAGTAAATTCACTCTCCTGGAGCCTCCCAGAAATGAAGGAAACATAAGGTGTCCTGGGAACCACGCTGACCCTAAACCCAGAGGCACTACCAAAGCCCAGGGAGAACTCGATCAGCATCATGCCCACTCTTCCTGGGCCTTGGAGGCACTGGGTCTCAGCTCCCCCATTGACAGCAGAGCTCTCCCAGGACCATCCACCAGGAAGACACAGGAGATCAGAGTCTGAAACTGCTGAGCTCCAGGCAAATCCTGGAAACTCTCAGACCCCAGAACTACGCAAGCTGCGAGTGAAAGGCTCCTTGCAGAGCACGGAGGCCAATCCTTTCTCTTTGCAGGTGGGAACCTGAAGCCTGGAGAGGGACCGGGTTACCTGCAGAGCAGGATCTAAGACTCAGGGACCCAGGTGCCAACTGCTTTCTCCCAGACAGCATTCCATGCTGCTTGCTCATTAGGAAAGACGTAACTTCATCTGCCACAGGGCTTGGATGCAGGCTTTGTGTGTGCAAAGCCCACAGTGAGGAAGCATGCTGCTGGCCACAGACATACAAACACTCATTCCCCATGGACGGGGGTACTTACTGACACCCAGGGGTGACTCAGGATTTGTCCCGCAGTACACCGAGCTTCAACATTTACCTGCAGCATTTGACTGATTAACTCCTAAAAATAAATAAACAAACAGATAAATACCACAGAGGAGGACAAAGACAATTCTACCACAAATACAGAAATCTGGGTTTTCAACCAAACACTTCAAAGTAAGAGCTAACACAGCTGCCCAGACATTTGACCCTAAAAGCTATGAACACTGACGCTCCCAGTGCTTACTGGGTATTTGCACAGCCATAGCCATGCAAAAGAAGAGAAGGACTCTTAGGAGTCCACAGGAAGCCAAGATGCTCTCTCCCAAGAGCTGTGGTCATTATCAATGTCCTGCAGCATAAAACTACAGTGTTTCTCCTTTTGGCAACTCAGTCTGATGAGTTCAGGCAAATTCAATCTCCCAAGTTCACTTCCATTTTCTGATGGATGTCCAGTATACATTTTCTGAATAATTTAAGGAATTATCCAGAGGTGCATGGGAGAGGAAGATGGTAGGGCAAACTGGCAAGATAACTGGCCTGGCTTTCAGAATTAGATCATGAACTCCAGAGACTATATAGGATGAACTTAAAGCAGAATCACCTGTTAAAAGTCTAGGAAGCTTCTGGAATCAATACTGAGGGCTGCTACAGCCCCCCATGAGGGGTGAGGACTGCAACGTAACTTAACCCACAGGAACAGGGCCCAGGCGGGTACCTTTGCTGAGTCCGTGATGTTATCCCAGTAGGGGGCTGGAAATTCCAGCTTTCCAGCCAAGATCTGGTCAAAGAGATCTTCCTGGAGATTGTTCTCGCTAGGCAGTGACAAAGAAATGGAAGAAAAGGCACAGTCACTACATAGTTTTTCAACAAAGCACTCATGGGACGAGTAGGAGAGGAGTCCGGTCTCTGATTTGAGCATTTCAAACTGCAATAGCATTTGTGACGACACGTTTTCCTCCTAGACAATGAGCTACACAACATTTCCATGGGCCTAGGAATCAGACAGAGACAATGATTCATGAAACTGAATGGATGCAGAGCTTCAATACAGAACGCTGAGAAAGTTCTGTAGATGGCTAATGTGAATGCACTTAATGTTACTGAAGTACACACGTGCAAATGGTTAACACGGTCAATTTTATGGGCTGACCACAATAAAAAAGGACTCAAGAAAAAAAATGGAATCTGCAAATAACAACAATCCTCATTTCGGCGGGATGGGGGTGGGGTGGGGTGGGGAGTCAGCCTCTCCCTTCAATCTTTCATGACAGTCAGGGTGGAAAAGCAGCAAACCTGAGTGCCATCGACTGCCCTTCCTCTTTCCACGTTTCCAATAAAATGGCCAAAGATCAGTGAAACAGCTGACAGGTGGAAGGGTCACAACAAGCATTTGGATAAAATATTTCTGATGTTGGGGCTGGTGTCATCACGCATTAGGTTAATCCTCTGCCTGCAGTGCCAGCAATCCACATGGGTGCCAGTTCTAGTCCCGGCTGCTCCTCTTCCAATCCAGCTCTCTGCTGTGGCCTGGGAAAGCAGAAGATGGCCCAAGTGCTTGGGCCCTGCACCCAGATGAGAAACCAGGAAGAAGCACCTGGCTCCTGGCTTTGGATCGGTGCAGCTCCGGCGTGGTGGCCATTTGGGGAGTGAACCAACAGACAGAAGACCTTTCTCTCTGTCTCTCCCTCTCACTGGCTGTAACTCTACCTCTCAAATAACTAAAATCTTAAAAAAATTCCTGATGTAATCATCTCAACATTACAGAGTGACCCTCTTGTAAGCTCACTCTGAGAAAGAGCCCAACTAGATTGCACAGGTTGAGGCAAACCCGCCTTGGCTGCTCCCCCAGGGCATTCCTCCGCAACCTGGGCCTGACTGTCCCAGGCACAAGGTGCACCTGAAGCACAGTTGGTGCCTAGTGAACTAATCATCTCTAGGCTTTGGTGAAAGGTGCAGTGGATATGTGAAACCACCACTGAGAGAAAAATCAGCGTACTGAATGGCCCCAACCTCCCCTAAAACTTTACCTCTTGCAGCCATAGATCTTGCCTCACGTGATGGGTACATCCATGGCCAGAGCAAGAAACAAAGTCAGCAGCTTTCTAGGCCATTACAATGCTCCAGGAGAAAACTCAGAATGGACTGTTAGAGTCAATGTCAAAATCCAGAAGTGGACTGGAGATTATATATATATTATAATATATAACTAATATATATTACTATATATTATATAATTATAATATATAAAATATAAGTATTATATAAGGTATTATAATATATATTATATAATACATATAATATATATTCAAAATAAATGAAATCAGTACGTAAAAAGAAGCATCTGTACTTGCATGCTTAATGCGGCTGTATTCATAATGGCCAAGGTACAGAATCGATCTAAATGTCTATCAACAGATGAAGACAATATAGAGTATATATAATGTAAATATACATTTATATTAATTGTGTAATTATATATTATAAACAGGTTAGATTATATAATTTATATTTTATGATATATTGTATTATTTTACTATACTGTTTTATTATATATAATGGAGTGCTCTTCAGCCATTAAAAAAAAAGAGTGACGTTCTGCCATTTGCAGCAACATGGATGGAACTGGAGGACATTACAATTAACTGAAAGAAGTCAGGCACTGAAAGACAGATGCCATTTCCAACGTCTGGGGTAACAGAAATGCCACTTGCCCTAATCTGATGGCTACACACTATAGACCTATGTTGAATTCCCACTCTGTACCCCATACAATTATTATGTATCAATTAAAAATTTTTTTTTGACAGGCAGAGTGGACAGTGAGAGAGAGAGACAGAGAAAAGGTCTTCCTTTGCCATCGGTTCACCCTCCAATGGCCGTCGCGGCTGGCGCGCTGCAGCCGGTGCATCACGCTGATCCGAAGCCTGGAGCCAGGTGCTTCTCCTGGTCTCCCATGCGGGTGCAGGGCCCAAGCACTTGGGCTATCCTCCACTGCACTCCCGGGCCACAGCAGAGAGCTGGCCTGGAAGAGGGGCAACCAGGACAGAATCTGGCACCCCAACCGGGACTAGAACCCAGAGTGCTGGCGCCGCAGGCTAGTGAGCCACGGCGCTGGCCAAAAGTTTTTAGAAAAATCTCCAAAGTGGAAGTATTACCTGGCAAGCGTGAAAACTTTCTTAGAATTTCTGTCCCCAGTCTTCAAGGTTTTGTACCAAACCTCTCAAAGAAGGACACAAGCCAGCATGGTGTCCCCAGAAGGAGGTCATTTTAAGCAGTGTCCAGAGACAGATTCTAGGTCTGTGTATGATCTGGCAGCCTCATTTCTCCTCTGGTAAAGAGTAGCGTTTGTGAGGTTGGTGAATATCCAGGACAGTTAACCAAGCTCAGCTGGAAGGGCGTGGGGCGGCCCTTGGGGTCTGGTCAAGGGCACACCGAGAAGCAAAGTCCAGGCCAGAAAACCAGGCAAGGCAGGAGAGCCCCCTCTGCTCTCCAAAACGGTGATGTTCTTTGAGGCACACAAAACTTTTCCAATATTCCAAAACATTTTCTTTAGATGGATTTATTTATGTGAAAGACATGTTGACAGACAAGGGGCAGGTGTGGGAGGAAGAGGAGGAAGAGGAGAGAGAACACGCACGAGTGAGCACACGTCCATAAACTGGTTCACTCCCCTCATGCATGCAACAGCCAGGGCTGCGCCAGGCCAAAGGAAGAAGCTAGCAACCCCATCCGGGTCTCCCACATGGGTCGCAGGAGCCCAAGTACTTGGGCCATCATCCACTTCTTTCCCAGGTGGGTTAGCAGGGAGTTGGGTTGGAATCAGACCAGCCAGGATTAACCAGGACTCTGATACAGGATCTCAGCATTGCAAGCACCGGCTCAGCACACTGTGCCACAATGCCAGCCCCAACATGTTGTATTCTCACTGGTATTACCTGCTGACTGGAAAAAACAAAAACAAAAACAAAAAACAAAAAAACACCTCAGACCAGATGGAGAGTCTAGAGAAACCTTTAGAGAATGAGAGAACTCAACAGACGTTAGAAGAAAACATTAAAAAATTACCTGTTTCCAGAACTTTTCCCTTTTTGCCATCCCTCTCTATCAGGCCTCTTATTTTCCCTTTGGCTTTCTAGAATCTCAAAGCTCACATTTTCTTAGTCATTGTATCTTTTGTTAATTAAAAAAAAAAAACAGCAAAAATGCTTGAAGTGTACCTGCAATCTGTCATTTATAGAAGTCAGCTCTTGGCAAAACATCCTCAACCAATAAACAAAACCCTGAGTTGTCCCTGCAATGAGAATGGGACCCCAAAGGACCAAGGCTGTGAACTTGACACTCACTAGAAGAACAAAAGCTAAAGCTGATTTGTCCATCTTGCTAGTTACATAAGAACAGCTACTCTGATCAAGTCTACACTGGACTTATTATCACACTAATACTCTACAATCGGCTTCACATGGTTCAGGGCACCTTGTTATTCTGAAACAATAAAGCCCTAGGTCAAGGTGCCAAAGGCTATCCTGTCCCTTATGAAAAGCCTGAAAAACAACACAAGTGTTTTGTGTACTCTCTCTGTTCAATGTCAAGTCACTGAAGGTCAACCAAGGTAACCTAAAAATGTTGTAAGCTACCCCACAAATGACGTGGAAACGTTTCACTCACAGGGTATGTGTGTGTGTGTGTGCGCACACACGCACTAGTGTGTTAAAGAGAAATGTCCAGGGGCCGGCACTGTGGTGTAGCGAGTAGAGCCTCAGGCTGCAGTGCCAGCATCCCATATGGGCACTGGTTCGAGTCCTGGCTGCTCCACTTCCAATTCTGCTCTCTGCTATGGCATGGGAAAGCAGTGGAAGATGGTCCGAGTCCTTGGGTCTCTGCACACACATGGGAGACCTGGAAGAAGCTCCTGGCTTCTGGCTTCAGATCGGCGTAGTTCTGGCCATAATGGCCATCTGGTGAGTCAACCAACTCTGTCTCTGTCTCTGTCTCCCTATAACTCTGCCTTTCAAATAAATAAATAAATTTTTAAAGAGAAATGTGCAAAAATGGTTTTAAAAAATAAATTCAAATTATAAATGCAAAAAAGAGAAATGTCAAAAATCTAAGTAGAGTCATACAAATAATACTTTTTGTTGGTGGCCTTAAGAACAGACTTGCTTAGGCAACAACTAAAACATGAGATGTCCCTGAAAAATGAACTCTGAGTAAGGGTGGAGTTGATGTTTAAAAAGACGGGGCGGGGGGGCGGAGAACACATGTTAAGCTAAAACTAAAACCTGAAAATCCTGGAAGAAGAAAGACACTGCAGCCAGAGAAGCTGAAACAGTAAATTCCAAACAATAATTTTAGTTTAAAAACTTTGAGTTCATTATAGGTATCTGCTGTTTAAAAGAATGACAACATGTATTTGAAAGGCTTTCATTTTAAGTACAAATTTATATATTTATTTTAGACTATCATCACTTGTCATTATTTAAAATACTGCTACCGGGCCGGTGCCGTGGCTCAGTAGGCTAATCCTCCACCTTGCAGCGTCGGCACACCGGGTTCTAGTCCCGGTCGGGGCACCAGATTCTGTCCCGGTTGCCCCTCTTCCAGGCCAGCTCTCTGCTGTGGCCCGGGAGTGCAGTGGAGGATGGCCCAAGTCCTTGGGCCCTGCACCCACATGGGAGACCAGGAGAAGCACCTGGCTCCTGCCTTCGGATAGGCACAGTGCGCCAGCCGCGGTGCGCTGGCCGCGGTGGCCATTGGAGGGTGAACCGATGGCAAAGGAAGACCTTTCTCTCTGTCTCTCTCTCTCACTGTCCACTCTGCCTGTCAAAAAAAAAAAAAAAATTAAAAAAAAAATACTGCTACCACAGGATACCCACGTCCCATGTCAGAGGACCTGGGTTTGGTTCCCAGCTCGGCCTCCAACTTCCTGCTAATGCACATCCTGGAAGGCAATGGGTGACGACTCAAGTACATGGGTCTGTACCACCCAAGTGGGAGACAAGAATTGAGTTCCAGGCTCCTGGCTTTGGCCTAGCCCAGCTTTGGTTGTTGTGGGCATTTGGAAAGTAAACCAGCAGATGTCTGCCTGTCTGTCTCCATCTCTGTTTGTCCAATACATACAAACATACCATTTCATGGTTTGTTGCATGCATTTTAATATTGCCAGTTGTAAGATCACACAGAATATCTCTATATGCTGTGAAGATGCTTCTGTAACTGATATTTAGCATTACAAATTCTCTCTCTTTTTTTTTTTTTTTTTTTTTTTGACAAGCAGAGTTAGACAGTGAGAGAGAGACAGAGGGAAAGGTCTTCCTTCCATTGGTTCACTGCCCAAATGGCTGCTACGGCTGGCGTGCTGCGCTGATCCAAAGCCAGGAGCCAGGTGCTTCCTCCTGGTCTCCCATGCGGGTGCAGGGCCCAAGCACTTGGGCCATCCTCCACTGCCTTCCCGGGCCACAGCAGAGAGCTGGACTGGAAGAGGAGCAACCGGGACAGAATCCGATGCCCCAACCAGGACTAGAACCCAGAGTACTGGTGCTGCAGGTGGAGGATTAGCCTAGTGAGCCATGGCGCTGGCACAGATTCTCTCTCATTACAATATGATGTAAAAGGGAAAGCATATTCTTACAATTTTTAGAGAAAGCTACCTGGAGTCATAAAACCCACTTCTGAATATAACATAAAACAGCATCAGCCTCAAGAAAATATCTTTGCTGCTTCTGATTAGCGAATCTTATCCTCATATTCCACCAAACCCTGCTGCACATTGGGTCCGACCATGACGAATAACATACTCCATCTGTGCCTCACTGCCGTTAACAGGCACACACTCCCAGGCTGCACTGGCACCTGGAAACACTAGAGGGAGTTGTGAGCACACAGTCCTCAAAACCCGATCCCCAGAGCCCTTTTCCAGCTCATCGCTGTGCTGAACCAGAGGTCAACCAGGATGCACCGGCTCCAGGACCACCTGCCATCCACACATACTACTCATCGGCACTTGACTAGTTTCCCAAACAGGCCACCTCCGAATCCAACAGAGCCCAGAGTGTAAACCGCCACAAGTCACTTCGTTCCCTCTACGCCTAGCACTCAGTTCATTTTCTCACGGCTTAGCTATCTGGCTTGAATTGGCCAATGGGGCATCCTTAAGTGGGAGGCAAACAGAATCTGAGGCAGTGCTCAGGCAGGTGAAACTTGCTCTGCACTTCCCCGCCCGGGCTGCGTTGGGAACCCCGCATCCGCCATCACCGGAAGCCCAGGCAATCATGCATCCGCCATCACCGGAAGCCCAGGCTAGCTCACTGGGTGAGGAAAGAAATACGGCTGAGGAATCTCTGCTGTCCCAGGTGACATGAAGCCCACTACTGGACGTGAGGGAGGCCAGACTTGACCATCAAACTTCCACCAAGCCAGCCCAAAAGACCACCTAATGGATCCATAAAATCATTTTATTCCCCTACCTTTTGGAGCCACCTGTTATTCAGCAGAGCTACCTGATGTGTGCAATGATCCTGCAGTCGGTGCAGCTCACCTAGGGAGTGACCTTGCTGGAAGACCCCGATGCTGACAGGTAGGTGGAGAAAGCTTTCTACCTACAAAAACCCTGCTCCCACTCCAGCGTCCCACGCAAATGCTACAGCTTTTATTGGACCATCTGTGACTTCCAGCCCTCAAATAAGCTTGCCTTCGGTAATATTCTTGGGTTGTGTGTCTTTACACCACAAGGCTCTCAAGAGTAGATACAAACATCTGTGTCACTCTTGTGTTTGTCAAAAAAAAAAAAAAAAAGAGAGAGAGAGAGAGACAGAGAGAATTGTTCAGCTAGGAAACATAATTTTAAAAAGATAAATCTTTGGGGCCAGCGCTATGGTGCAGCAGGTTAAAGCCGTGGCCTGAGGCACTGGCATCCCATATGGGCGCCAGGTTTTAGTCCTGGCTGCTCCTCTTCTGATCCAGCTCTCTGCTATGGCCTGGGAAAGCAGTGGAAGATGGCCCAAGTGCTTGGGCCCCTGCACACTCATGGAGACCTGGAAGAAACTCCTGGCTCCTGGCTTCAGATTGGCACAGCTCCCACCGTTGCGGCCAGTTGGGGAGTGAACCAGCGGACGGAAGACCTCTCTTTCTGTCTCTACCTCTCTCTGCAATTATTTCAAATAAATAAAATAAATCTTTTTTAAAAGAAAAGATAAACCTTTTGACTTTTCTGTTTAAAAGTTTTCATAATAAAATGTTGGTTAGGAGAGAGATGAACCTATTTTTCATTGCCTGACCCAGTGTACTACCATAAACAAATACCGGGAACTCAATATTTGTGTATCCCCACCCCCACCAAATTCCTATATTGAAACCTAATCCCCAGTGTGGCAGCATTAGCAGGTGCTGCCTTTGGGGAAAATGATTGATCAGGTCCTAAGGGTGGAGCTGTCCTGAGAGGGCTCAGGTTCCCCTGCCCCTCTCCTGTGTGATGTTACAGCAGGAAGATGTGTGTAGGGCACCTGCTGGTGCCTTGAAACTGGACCTCCCAGGCTGCACACTGTGAGAATTAAATCTGTTGCTTACAAGCCACACGGTTAAAACAGCTCAAACAGACTAAGACAAACCACGACCTCAGGGATTATGCTTTTTCACCACTTTATTCCTGGCCCTCAAAATAGTGCCTGGGAAACAACAGCTTTTCCACAAATAGCTGGAAAAGGAACACAAAAAGGCATTAAAACGTCAAGAGAGCTCAGCAGAACTCAGAACATCACACCTGCATCCTTACCCTCACTGCTGCTTCACAGCCTTTCGTCTGCTCCAGAGGAAGAGATGAAACTGATCACACGGAAGGCCACGACTGAGGGCGTCACTCCCCTCGGGGTCCACACTGGGAGGCAGGCTGGGGCCCACACTGGTAGGCGTACCAAACACCACAACTACTGTCTGCATTGCATCTCCCAAACCCCCATTTAAAGTGTACCCAGGTCTTACTCAGGCCTGCGTGTGCCAAAAGTGTTTGTAATTCTACTTCCTCATTAAGTATTATGTGCGCTGATAAAATGAATGTAGAAAGAGCTTCTGTGTCTATGAATTGTTTAAATAAGTGCTCTTAGGGATAGGCCTAGTTAGCCTAGTGTCACATTGGGGTGCCTGGGCTCCAACTGTGGCTCTAGCTCCTGACTCCAGCTCCCTGCTCATGTAGACTTGGGAGGCATCAGTGATGGCTCAAGTAACTGGGTTTTAGCCAACCATGCAGGAGGCCTGGATGGAGTTTCCAGTTCCCTAGCTCACCCCTGGCCACTTCATGCATTAGAGGACTAAACCAGAAGATGTGAGTCTTCTCTCCTTCTCTCTGCCTCTTAAATAACAATAATAATAATGATGACAATAATAATAACGATGACAATAATAATCTGCAGTCACATCAAGCCAGGGAGACAAGTATCAGACACCAAAAAAACGTACACCTGGAAGGATTCACATCGTTTCACATGGATCTTTAAATCTTAAAGAAAAAAAACTATTCATTTATTTGAAAAGCAGCGTTATAGGGGTTGGCACTATGGCATAGCGCGTAAAGCTGCTGCCAGCAGTGCCATATGGATGCCAATTCGAGTCCCAGCTGCACCACTTTCGATCCAGCTCTCTGCTATGGCCTGGAAAAGCAGTGGAAGATGGCCCAAGTCCTTGGGCCCCTGTACCTGCATGGGAGACCTGGAAGAAGCCCCTGGCTCCTGGCTGTGGATTGGCCTAGCTTTGGCTGTTGCAATCATTTAAGGAGGGAATCAGTGGATGGAAGACTTCTCTCTCTCTCTGCCTCCCTGTAACTCTGCCTTTCAAATCAATTAATTAATTTTTTTAAGAAAATCTTTTTTTAAAAAAGCAGAGTTACACACACACACACACACACATATACACGGGGGTGAGGGAGAGAAAGAAAGATCTTCTACTCAGTGGTTTACTCCCCAAATCGCTGCTATAGCTGGGGCCAGGCTGAAGCCAGGAGCTTCATCCAGGTCTCCCACGGGAGTACAGGAGCCCAGGTACTTGGGCCGTCTTCTGCTGCTTTCCCAGACACATCAGCAGGGAGCTGGATTAGAAGTGGAGCAGCTGGGACCATAGCCCAAATGGGATGTCAGCATTGCAAACAGTGGCTCTATCCACTAAACCACAATGCCGGGCCCTAAATCTTACTCTTGTGTGAAGAGCTAGAAGCTGGAAATTGAGCCAAGTGTTACAGGTCTATTTTATGAAAGAAACGCTGAGGACCATACACAGTGTCAATGCCTTGATGAATGAATGTACATTTGGACATTCTTAGATAAAAAAAAAAGAGTGCCCTTGTGTAACTTCTAAGTGACATTTTTTATACTGACCATTTCCTGGTCCTGACTGCCAGGAGTGAAGTGTGTGCTTCCGGGCCCACAGGAGAGAACTTACAATTCAAACACAGTGACTCCACGGCACTGACCTTCGGAATGGCGGGAACCCACAGAGAAGTATGTAGGTGATCACGCCGGCTGCCCAAATGTCCACCTTCAGGCCATAGCTGGAAAACAAAAGTAGGGGCGGGACAGGAGCATTTATACAGCTTCCAAGAACCTTCCACCTTACTGCAGCATTACCTGCTAGGACAAGGGATATTGCTGGTGTAAAAATTGTTCATTTCACTATCCTCTGGACAAATTCATCTATTTTTCGCTCAACCTAACCACAGCATTAGTGATTTTACATTTCCAAGACCATCCTTGGGCCCAAAGCCCAGGGCCAGGGCTCTTGCTTATATAAGCACAGATGTTACTTGCTGGGTAGAAGTCCTGTGTGGCCACCGGTCTCTCTGCTCCTCCTCCCCTCTACCATCGCAGCATAGCCACAAGAATATACCTTTCCCTACCGCAGTTAAAAGCACTAGCCAACATCTCCAGGACTCTTACCCAGTTTCAGCAATGATTTCTGGAGCCACGTAGGTTGGTGTGCCACAGACTGTGTACAAAGGGCCTTCCACCACAGTGGCCAGCCCAAAGTCGCCCAGCTTCAAAGACTTGGTTCCATCAGGATACTCACACACCTGAGACAGAGACCAGAGGAAAAGCACAGGTTGTTTTTTCTCAGTGAATACAGGAGGGCCCTTGGAATTAGGCAGAGAGAGACATATTTACTAACAAACTCAGGAACTCATGATTTCTATTTGCTGCTTTAAAGTGTTTATTTTTCTCTTCAGAGATTTTGCAAAATTGTGTGAAATTTGGAAAAGATCTATTTTCCATCTTTGCAGAAAGCACCTTACCCAGGAATACAATGGACACAGGTGCTTGCTTCCACAGCAGGTGAGGGTGCAGGTGGCAGGAAACTGACTGTAACTTAGCATTCACTGTGTGCGAGGTACTCAGGAGTCCAGGAAATGGTCTTTACTCAGTGCCCATGAGAAAATGAAATTAGGAGTGGGGATGGCAGCCTTGTTTTCTGGACAGTTAATGGTGAAATACAAATATCAAATGAGGAGAATCTTGAAAGTTCAGGAAGAAAAAGAACTTTGAGATCTAGCAGCCTGAACTTGAAAACAACTCTACTCATTTCCTGGCTGTGTGGCCTGTGAAAGTCCTTTAAGCCCCCTGAGCAAGCGTCTTCATCTCTGACATGGGATGGCTCTGGGCTACTCAGAACTGTCTGCGAGGGCCTTGAAATCCTCGCCACACTCCTGCAGCACTATTTTTTAAAAATCTGTTTATTTAAAAGGCAGAGTGAGGGGGGATGTGGGAGTGGGGAGAGGGGGAGAGAAGGAGAGGGGAAGAGGGGAAGAGGGAGAGAGGGAGGGAGAGAGGGAGAGAGGGAGAGAGGGAGAGAGGGAGGGGGGAGAGGGGGAGAGGGAGAGAGGGAGAGAGGGAGGGAGGGAGGGAGAGAGGGAGAGAGGGAGGGAGGGGGAGAGAGGGAGAGAGGAGGGGGGGAGAGGGGGAGAGGGGGAGAGGGGGAGGAGGAGAGGGAGAGAGGGAGGGGGGGAGAGGGGGAGAGGGAGAGAGGGAGAGAGGGAGGGGGGGAGAGGGGGAGAGGGAGAGAGGGAGAGAGGGAGGGGGAGGGGGAGGGGGAATGAATGAATCTTCTATCCACAGGGTCATTCCCCAGATGGCCACAGCAGGTGGGGCTGAGGGAATAGGCAGAGGGAAGCCAGGAGCCAGGAATTCTATCTGAGGCTCCCACACGGGAGGCAGAATTCAAGCACTTGAGTCATCTTCTGCCGCCTCCCAGGCACATTAGTCAGGGGGCTGGATCAGAAGCCGTCACTGTGATATGGGATGTGGGTGTCCTCAGCAGCGGCTTAACCAGCTACCCCACAATGCCTGCCCCACCCTATGACACTTTGAAGTCATGAAGAAGTGTGCTGGGTATGTGTACAGAGCTTATAAGCCTAGAAGTTATAAAAATACTAAGAAGAAAAATGATATTATTAAACAGATGAGGCATCCCAGGTAAGGGATGTATTTCATGTTGTATTTTTCAAATGCTGTAAAGCTTGGTCAAATGAGACAGAGCCAAAAAACAGGGACAAATACTCCTTCTCTTTTCTGGAACGAGTGGTTGATTAGATAATTTTAATACTGGAAATGGATTTAAAACGCTGATGAAGATGTGAATATTTATGCTTAAACCAAAGAACCTTTCTAGGAAGCATTTAAGCAATATGTATCAAATTTCTTAACATCTTCATAACACTTTTAGTAATCTACTGAAAGAGAATAGAGATGGACCCAGAGGTTATATATGAGATGTCAATCTCAGAATTTATCTTTGTTTTTTTTCAGACTGGATAAAACATATGGCTTATAGGGCAGTTACTAAATCACAGCACATCTCTATAATAAAATATTACACAGCTGCCAAAAAGTGCTTTTCAAATAAATAATCATCATATGGGAAATACTCTATTATTTAAAGTAAAAAAGAAAATAATCTATTATCTAATGTAAAAAATTACACAGAAAATATAATACCAAAATGTTAAAAAGTTGATCTCTAGGTGGTACCATTTATAAATCACTTATTTTCTTCTTTTTACTTTTCAGTTTCCAAAATGTTTACAATAAACATGTATTGGTTCCATAATTAGTGAAAGCTAAATTTACATATAAGCAAACTCTTCCCACAGTAGTGGTGAGAATCTTTTCTCTGCCAAGAGCCATGTGGATATTCATAACCTCACTGGTGGGCCATACAAAATGATCAACTTAATTCAAATGATTGAATGTTGAGTCCTGCCTATGGTTGGCAGGGCCAGACCAGATGATTTTCTGGATGCTGGACGTTCCCCACCACTGCCCTACAGGACATAGCTGATCATAAATGACAGCTGCATCACAAATGGATAGGGTTGGAAGCAACCAGCATATACGCTAGCTTCATCTGGATTTGATTCCAATCCTAACTTGCTTGTACAGTCTATCTGTCTCTTGGCTGGCTGCTTCGAAAGCACTACATTTCTGATAAAAGTAACTGTAGAGACTTAAAATATACTCATATAATGTCTTTCACTATTTTTATACCTTAAGCATATTTAGTTTTCTTTTTCTCATATTTTACTATGAAATGAACCAGATTTTCATCTCAACTACTGAGGAGGAGAAAAATTTAGAAAACAATGTTTGCTCAAGATAAGCATGTGAACAGCATGATCCATCAGTCTGACACCAGACTGGGGAGGGGGTTACACAGTCATCACTAAAATGTATCTGGACCCTCAGGGCTCCCCACGCCAATCATTCCCCGAGTTTACAGCATTTAAAAAAGAATGGCATGAAATACATCCCTTACCGGTGATGTTCTTGTCTGTTTAACAAGGTAATTTTTCATCTTGGTATTTTCATAACTTCTTTTAGGCTTATGTACTCTGCACATATACCCAGAACACATCTTCATGACATGAAAATGTCACAGGAGTGGGGCTGGTGTGGGACCCCACATTCCATACTGGAGCAGCAGTTTGGGTCTCAGCTGCTCCACTTCCAAAGCAGTTCCTTGCTAACACACCTGGGAAGCATTGGAAGATGGCCACGTACTTGAGTTTCTGCCACCCATGTGGGAGACTCAGATGAAGTTCTAGGCTCGTGGCCTCAGCCCAGCACAGGCCTGGCTGTTGTGGCCATTTGGGGAGTGACCCCACAGACAGATCTCCTCTCTCCCCTCTCCCTCTCTTCCTCTCTCCTTCATCCTCTCCTCCCCTCCCTGTCACTCTGCTTTTCATATAAATAAATACATCTAAAAAAAATTAAAGTGTTGAAGGAGTGATGGCAAGGATTTCATGGCCCTCACAAACATTTACAATTCTGAGTAGCGCATAAATCAGCAGAAACTTAACCAGCGCTATCAGTGATGTCATCTGGGGGAACAGAATCCACATTCTTAGTCAGGCCATGGTCTCAGGACAACTCTTCATCCATTACGTTTAATGTAAACATCATCAAGAGTAACTGGATAAAATTAGAATTTATGATGCATTTACTAAAACCTAGACGTTAGAAACTCCCCCAAGTAATTACAACAATAACAATATCTGAAGCACAATTCTCTAGATGTCTGTTTCACGAGATTCAAAAAAGACTTATTAATGACATTGGTATTTTGTTTTCACAACTTTAAAATATATTCACTGGATATAATTTTTGAAAAATAGTGTTTATTTTAAGCACCCAATTTAGAGACTCCTGGGGTATGAGGGATTGTCCATACCCAGAAGCCCTGTGTTTCACATCCCCTCTAAAGAATTCACAGTCAGATGCAGAAGCATTAAGAGAAAGGGACTCCACAGTCTAAAGTCAGCGAGTTATTTCTGGGTATGTGGTACTTCTTGGCAAATCATCAAAAGGGATCATCAAAAGGGAAGTGTCACAAGGGGCAGGCTGGCCTGAAACAACAGTACTTTATCTGACTCATCTCTCCCCAGGGCTAGCCAGACACAGAAGCAAATGTGTAAAAGACAGGGGCCAGTGCTGTGGCGCTGCCTCCAGTGCAAGCATCCCAAATGGGTGCCAGTTCGAGTCTCGGTTGCTCCACTTCCTCTCCAGCTCTTTGCTATGGCCTGGGAAAACAGTGGAAGATGGCCCAAGTCCTTGGGCCCCTGCACCCATGTGGGAGACCCAGAAGCAGCTCCTGGCTCCTGACTTCAGATCAGTGCAGCTCCGGCAATTCCGGCCAATTGGAGAGTGAACCAGAGGATGGAAGACCTCTCTCACTCTTTGTGTCTCCTTTTCTCTTTGTGTAACTCTTTCAAATAAATAAGTAAATCTTTCAAAAAAAAAAACGTGTAAAAGACAATATGAGAAAACCTCCAAATCTCAGGGAAAACTGTGTATGTATACGGGTGGAGCTACACACATGGCACTGCTTTAATCAACCGATTTTTCTAAAAGTTAATAAATGATTAGGAATGTCAGAGGCTCTCCGCCTCTCTGCGGAGTGTGGCCCTCCCTAGTAACAGACAGTCGGGGGGAATTTGCAGACTCCAATATTCTATCCCCTACCATCTCCATGGATGTTTGCAGTCACCCCACCAGACAGCAGGAAGAGAGATGGAAACTGATGTTCCCCAAACCCCAGTTCCCAGGAAGAGCCCTGGGAAGGCTCCTGTAGTAGATGCTGTCTCTGATCCACAGCTGTCGGAGCCCGCGCTTTTACAGAGCTCTGACTGGATGTAAACAGTCACAAGGCGCCTGCTCCAGCCCTGCAGTGCGCAAATGCCCACCCCTCACAAGCTGAGTGATGCTTCTGTCCAAGCGGCTCTCAGAAGGCAAAAATAAGAAATGTGAGGAATGCACCCCCCACACCAAGTGAACACTGCATGTTCTCTAAATAAAATGTCAACATAATGATTTAGAAGGACTTCAAATATGAGAAACCAACCCTCCTCTCTCCCCTGTCCCCAGAACTCTGGGCAGAGCTGAATTTATCACTGGTCTCTGACAGGGCACCACCAGGCTGTAACTCACGGCATTAACGGCCACCCCGTGCTCCCTGACACGGCCACCCATCCATCTCCACTGGCAGCGCTTTAAGTTATGACCCTGCGACCAGACAAGGGGATGCAAATCAGATGTCTGAACACTGCTGTGTAAAAACTGAATCAGTTCTTGGACAGGAGGAGGCCAACAGACCCTCTGGGTGTTTACTTTTTAGGCCAATTCCAACCTGCAGACACTTCTCAATCTAGAAACTGAGTGACCTTGCTACGTTTTCAAGGGCACACACGGTACTTAGCTAAGTGCGGCTAAGGCTGCTTCTGAGGCCTGGCCCCCTGGCCTTTCCACCTCACACACTATCCCTGTGCAGGTCTCAGTTTCATCACCATCTTCCTGCTCCCCAACTTTGCGTTGCAGAACGGCATGGGGCAGGTTTAGGAGAACAGGAGCACGCTCATCCTGGGCAGGGAACCTAATTCCGACTCCCTAGCTATATCCTACAACATGCAGTGTTGGAGATGTCAAGCCCTGCCATGTTATCCACCCTTGACTTGGGCAAGAGAAAAGGAGGAGGTGTCCGACTCCAAGGAGAATTCACACACGTTAAAAAACCGTAAGCGGAAAAGAGAAGAAATGGGAGGTGAGAGGGGCGAAATGGACCCATCCTGGTTGACAGTGACGGTCACTCATGCTTCAGTCTTCCTCTGGGCTGGGTCTTTGACAATCAGAGCTGCAGGAGAGGCTGACTGCAGAGTAACCTTGTGACACCTACATTCACAGAGAAGATCAGCAACTTGAGCTATAGGGGTGAGGTGGGCTGTGGAGAGCAAGGAGTTAAGGGGGCACCTGGAGAAAGCCCTGGCCAAACTCGGATGCAGCAGGAGCCTGCGACCTCTGCACGGTCACGATGGATGAGAGGCTCTTTGAGGTAGGAAGGCTGTGCATAGCCCTCCTTTCATCCTGAGGCTGGTTTACGACTCTGTCTCCACTCCTCGTTGGAGTTCATAAAACAGCTCTCCTTTCTGTGTCCAGAGAAGAGAGATTTTTCTAACAGGAATTTACAGAATTGAAACGCAGGTTGAGAACTCCTCACCAAAAATGCTCAGGACCATAAGTGTTTGCATATTTTGGGATTTTGGAATATTTTTAATATACATATGAGATGTCACAGATGAGATATCTAAATATGATATTCATTTATATTTCATATACATATGACCTGAGAGTAATTTTTAATAAAAGTATTTCTAATAATTTTGTACATGAAGCAAAGGTTCACAGCAGGGAATTTTGCACTTGTGATGTCATTTCAGTGATCAAAAAGTGTAGGATTTTGGAGTATATTGGATTTTGGATTTGGGGATTAGGGAGGTTCAATTTGTGTAATTCTTTAAGACAGGACATACTAAAAAAAAAAGTTCAAAACTTTTAAGTAGACACCCAGAAATCCTCACATGATGTTACCAAAAAGGAAAAACACACACTCTGGATCAGAAAAAAAAAAAAAAAAAAGGTCCCTGGGATGGCCTCAAAAGCCTGTACTCTGATGCATATGAGGATACTTCAAAAAGCTCATAAAAAATGGAATTAAAAGAGAAGTCTCTTTTGGTGTAAATCATTTGAAATCTATGCCTAGTTTCTTCACACTACACATTTTCCATGAACTTTGGAAGGAACCTTCCATTCAGTGATTACTTATGTAGTACAAGCACAAAGTAGGCTGCAAAGACTTAAGTTTGAGTGCCAGCTGCTAGCTAGCCGAGTGACTGTCAGTGTCAACTGCCAAGCACTGACTCCGTATATCTGCACACTCCATATATTGCTTACCTGGCACTGTCCAAGGCATTGAAGATATAGACAATTGAGACATGAACCTTACCCTGCTGTGGTATTTATGACCTAAAGGAGGACCTAGACAAATCAATGACGAATTCAAAACACTACGGCAAGCATAGCAGAAACCAGAGAAGGCTGTGACAGAACTCGGCCCAGAGAATCTGGGTGATGTCAAAGAAGACCTAACTCGTGCTTAATGGCTTATAGAACGAGTAAGTTTTTCACATTGTTGGGAGACAGGTCACTGCAAATGAAGACCAGAAGAGACAGAAGCAATGGAGGTGAAAGGCTGTTAATAAAGTCAAGTCTTAACTACCGAGGATGGGTAGTGACAAGCTCACCTCCCAAGAAGTCATTAAGATGGCACCCAACCCTGAAAGATGCAAATAGAGAAGCCAACTGTCTCGTGTGTGTGTTTAGAGTGTCTGTGCATGCAAAACTCCCCAACCAGCTTTTCTAAAATTCCTCTACTGCATAGTCACAGGGGTTGGCTTCCATTAACTAGCTGTGTCTAGTTATCAAGGCTCACCAGGAGGGTGAGTTGAACATGGCACGCAGGTGAGTGACATGCTGTGTAAGGAAGAGTGCTGACAGGAAGCTGGAATGAGATTACAAAGGTCTCTGAGTGCCATCACCAAAAAGGTTTCTTCTTCTGTAGAACAACAGAATAAATGAGCCTTATACTCAACAAAGATTAGCATCTTGGGGCCGGTGCTGTGGCACAGCGGGTTAAGGCCCTGGCCTGAAGCGCTGGCATCCTATATGGGCACCGGTTCTAGTCCCAGCTGCCCCTCTTCCAGTCCAGCTCTCTGCTGTGGCATGGGAAGGCAGTGGAAGATGGCCCAAGTGCTTGGGACCCTGCACCTGCGTGGGAGACCCAGAGGAAGCTTCTGGCTCCTGGCTTCTTAGCAGCGCAGTTCCGCCCATCTGGGGAGTGAACCATCAGATGGAAGACCTCTCTCTCTGTCTCTACCTCTCTCTGTAACTCTGTCATTCAAATAAATATAATAAATCTTTTATAAAAAAAGATGAGCATCTTTCCATCTCCATTTCCATATCTGTAAAGCTTAGAAGAATGAACTAGACTATTTCCAAAATTCTGCCCCACACATAAATGAACCCTCATGTTCTACTTCTGTCTCCTACAATCCAGTAGTTCTCTCTCCAATTTATTCTTCAGAATTTTTTGCCCCATAAAATAATTTTCCAGCTCATCTTTGCTCAGTCAATGCCATCAATTAAAACACAAACTAAAATATATTTTCTAACATCTGGTAAACAGTAAATGTAGATGAATTCAAGAAATCCATTAGCATTTTATTATCATTGACTTGAATCTTAATGGCTTTCTAAATTTTAAATCTCTTACTGCAGGATTGATACAACTATAAAATGTCACAGTTTGTATCTAGCTTTGATCATTTTATAGGGAGGGAGGCAGGAGGTGGAACAGGAAAAGCAGAGGTGACGTACCAAGAGGTTTTCTGGCTTGATGTCTCTGTGTACAATGCTGAGGCCGTGGAGATACCTGAGGGCGTTGGCCAGGTTGTACACCATGGCGCTGCCGTCTCTCTCGGTGTACTTGGTTGAAGAAGTAATTGCATCAAAGAGATCTCCGCCCTAAAGGATACCAAACGGAGCCTATCAACACACCAACAGTCCAGTGCTGTGAAGGTGAGAATGATGACTCATTGGCTTGGCGGACATGAAGAAGATGACATGTGTGCTGCTAAAGTTGATGATTATAGATAAAATTACAAGGCAGAAAAGCATTTTTCTGCTTATACAATATCCAGGATTATTACATCTTGGGATTGGGCACCAGTAAATCCCTCCACCCTCTTACTTTCACCAATTCCATCACCAGGAACAGCTCAGTTGCCGTTTCCATCTCTTCCACCAGCATGATGATATTGGGGTGTTTCACACGGCGCAGAATTGACACCTCGTTCTCAATCAGATGTTCCTGTAAAATAAAGGAGTAGAGAGGGAATCAGAAACCACAGATTGTCCTGTGCTCTACAGACTGGAGGACTACAAGATAAACACAGTCTGCAGATCCAATGCTTAAGGGACACCATCTCTCTTGGCTCATAGAGGCGGTTGCCATAGAGACAGCAGGTCGGGTGGACGTCTCATGGCCACTGTCAGACTTTGGAACATTCCCCCAAAGGGCCCAGTGGTGCTGTCATGGCACCTAAAACACGCCACCTATCTCATCACTACTCCCAGTACCCTCGCAGGCTGTGGTGCTGTAGAAGCACAGATACATGGCACATGCCAGTTAATTCTGCCAGAATGCTTGTTCAGTTCAGCATACACTCAGAAATAAAGGCTAGATACATAATAAAATTTTCCATGCATATCATACAACTTCTATCATTAAAACTTTCAGTTTTTAAATCTTTACCAGTGAATTTGAATTTCATGTTGAAAGCTATAAAATGGAAACTTTCTTTCTCTATGATTGGATATAAAATCATTCACCAGATGGGTGTTCCTTATCATCTTCTATCTCAGAAATCTGGAAACTTACTGTGTTGGGGGATCACTGTTCTCACTTTAAGGATAATAACTTCTCCTCTGAGAAAGCACCACCTATCAGTCCCCTCGAGCGATGCAGTTGGGATCAGCACTGCAGCAAAGTGTCCTCTCACAGCATTGAGGACTTATTTTCCATACAGCAATCCATGGGCCATAAATGATGACTGCTCTAGTTCAAATGAGACATGGAAACCTCTCTGTAGCCAATTTGTTGATCCTCAATTACTTTAATAACAAATTAGTCTGCATTTAGAGAACACTGCAAAATCTACTGACTGACCTCTTGCACATTCTAGGTATTTAACAGTTTAGCTGTAATATAAAACCTACCACTTAAGAGAATACTTGCCACCTAAATATGCATATATGTACAAATCCACATAGATAGATGTGCTTGGATCCCTCAAATAGCCCTTTTGGCTTTTGCTATCATCACTTTCTGAGCTTGATTTACTGTCCCATTACAGTAATAAAATAATTGTCTTATCCCTAATTCAGTATGCCTTTTATGGTTCTGTCTTATCTTCATGCATCAATGAGAATGAGTATTTATATTCTAAGTCATGTCAAATCCTTTTTGACAATAATGGGAGGAATAAGTTATAACAAATGAATAAATAGCATGCAGAGAAAGTCTGTAGGCTCGTGCACATGGCGAGTTGTATGTCTTGAGTGCTGATTGCACTGCACTTTCTTTACTCAATCAGTGTTGGCAAATGCTTAACTGAAGCAAGGGAAAGAAAGGAAGCAACATTTACCAGGAAGGGATTCACTACTGGTCAGTGGCAAGCACACTGCACAAGACCCTTGTGTAATATTTTAGCACTTTCTCCTTAGAACAGTCCTTGGAGGTAGGGATGTAAATGCAGGTTGCTGACACCCAAGCCTGTACTCTGGGTTCTACATACATCGCCTTTCAAAGGGGTTGTATTTCAGCAAGAGTGAAGCTGGAATTTTTCAGAATAAACATGATAGCTGGAAAGCTAGAAATATTTAACTCCTTAAAACAAGCAGCAGCAGCATGCCGAGTTGGGGAGCAATAAGCAGACAGGGCTTTGTGCAAAGAGGTGAGTCTACGCTTCTTTTTAGGGTAGTGATGTCTCTGACTGGCTCTGGACTCTTCAAACACTTCCAGATCTCCTGAAAGAACAGAGGGTCTCAGGCCCTAACAAACCACAGCTGCAAGTCAGAAACAGGGCCTCTTGCCTGTTTCCAAGTCCCATCTGCCCAAGTGACGGAGCAGTAGCACAAAGCAGCAGGCAGCACCCTGCTTTCTCCCTTGGGAAGCAGCTCACAGCCAACCCTTGTGGTCACACAAAAGGAAGACTTGGCAAGTGTCCCTATCTATTCACACATTCTCAAGCTTTTGGATGATTTGTGCCAAGCATGTCCTTAATCATACTAAAGGCAGAGTTAGATATATTTCTGTGAACACATAAAAGCACGCAAATGAATTTATCTCACTCTATGTGAAGCAAAGACAATGGTTATTACTACCACGTTCATAAATCAGGTTTTTTATGTTACCATGAAATGGATCTACCCCTTCAATTCTCCACCCACTCCTCATTTTCTCCAAAGTTGGAAGACTCTATAGATTTTCCTGTTTTCAGAGGCTCTGTCTGTGATGCTAACTTGGAGAAAAACATGTAAAATAATCCCTATCACCAGTGCCCCCAGAAGCTCTCTCAAATTGGAATTAAAATAAGATGAATATCACATAGGACTACACCTTCTGAAATTATTATCCTTTTCAATAAAACATACAACAGAAACTCTTCTGGGGGATATGCTGTGGAACTTCTCCCAGGACCACTGGCAGTGTCACATTTCAAATATCAAGCAAATATTGCAGCAACACTGTCTCCACCACTGTGTACCATCTCAGCCACCTGTCTTCTACTTGAAAATGGTTAGCCCAGGAATCTCCAAGACAGAGATGATGTTTTTGTTGGGATGTGGGAGCTCTCTTTGTTTCCCAGCCTCTTTCTATCCCTGGAAATTGTCTATGAAGGAACAATCCCCTTTTAAAACAATCCTCTTTTTAAACTAATGTCACCAGGAGCATAGCCAAAGTACTGCATAAAAACCTTTAAGTGGTATATTTCTATTTCTTATGAAATCCATATGTAGTCTTTCCTTCTAATCTGCAAAAATATTCTCTAGATTTTCCAGAATATTTCTAAAGGTAATATGAATATCTCGAGCAATTCTGAACTTAGATTATTCAATCCTCTACCATTATTTATGTTAAGTGATTCACAAATTCTAACTCCAAACAATTTACATATGAATCAGTCCTTGGCAGTGTTCCATGGATCTGTGTAAGGGTAAATGACAAGGAGAGCTGCTGACTCCTTATCCCTGGCCATGGTGAGTTTTAATGTACAAAGAGAGACAGTGATCCCAGCAACAGATTCAGGGGTCACCTCTCTCCCAAACTGAACCGATCATCCGGTCTCCATTTCTCCCAGCCACACCAGCCTTACCTTCTCACTGAACAAACCTGGGTGCCCAAAGCAGAAATGGGAATTCCACCGGGATTCCTCCTTACTTCATCCTCCAATTCCCCCAATCCATCACCGTCCCTGGTCCCTCAGGCTTCTCAGTAGCCTCTAGGTCTATGCATTTACTGTTCTCTGTCCTTGCCAATTTCTCCCTGAGATTTCTGGGCATTTGCACAGGTCATTTCCCCCACCTGGGACATCCTTTACCACTTCTTGGTAAAGTCCTACTCATTCCTCAGGACCAGCAAGTATTTCTTTTCCTTTTTTTCTTTCTTTTTTTGACAGGCAGAGTGGACGGTGAGAGAGAGAGACAGAGAGAAAGGTCTTCCTTTTGCCGTTGGTTCACCCTCCAATGGCCGCCACGGCTGGCGCACCGCGCTGATCCAATGGCAGGAGCCAGGTGCTTCTCCTGGTCTCCCATGGGGTGCAGGGCCCAAGGACTTGGGCCATCCTCCAATGCACTCCCTGGCCACAGCAGAGAGCTGGCCTGGAAGAGGGGCAACTGGGACAGAATCCGGCGCCCTGACTGGGACTAGAACCCGGTGTGCCGGCGCCGCAAGGCGGAGGATTAGCCTAGTGAGCCGTGGCGCCAGCTCAGGACCAGCATGTATTTCACCTCCTCTCAGTAGTCTTCCTGCCACCTAAGCCCGGGTTAAGTGTCCCTCTTGTGTGCTCACACCACCCCAGTGCTTGCGATGATCACAGCTCTGGCCCTACTCTCTTAAGAATTTGTGTGCTGGTCCATTCATAGCCCTCTGGAACTGAGAGCTTGTGGAGGGTTTTGTTTACCGCACTTCTACCCAAGAGCTTAGTTAGTAACACATAGCAGGTACTCAAGTGTCCCTGAGAATGAAAACACACATCATGTATTGCTCTTCCCCATGAGTAGTCTCCAGTTGGCATCTAGGCTGCTTTGTCAATACTGCTGAGGACAAGGGTAGGCATTTAGCCTAGCGGTTAAAGACACTGCAACCCTCTCGGAGTACCTGAGTTCAATGCTCAGTTCCAACCTCACACCAGCTTCCTGCTAATCCTAACCCTGCGAGACAGCAGGTGTGGCTCAAGTAGTTGTGTTTCTGCCACCCACAAAGGAGACCTAGTTGGAGTTCCCAGTTCCCCGCTTCAGCCTGGCTGAGCCCTGGCTGTTGCAGGCATTTGGGGGACTGAACTAGCAGATGGGAGTTCCCTGAGCACCTGTTTGGCTTGCTTCCCCACTTCCCCCCAACCTCTCAAATAAATTAAGAAAATAATGCAGAGGACAATACAGTAAGAGATAAAGTTGTTCCAATCACTGTAAATGATTAGTGTGCTGCATGAATGTAGTAGTCTGACTGGCCACCCAAAGATACCAAGTTCTAATCCAGGGAGCTTGTAAATACTACCTTATCTGGAAAAAGGGTTTTGCAGATAGGACTAAGGATCTTGCAATGTAGAAATAACCCTGCACTGTCTGCCATCACAAGTATTTTTATAAGAAAAAGATAGAGGGAGACTTGGCACAGAGGTAAGAAGAGAGAACACACAGAAGAGAAAGCGATATGAAGATAGAGACGAGGCTGCCCTGACGTGGCCCCAAGCCCAAGAAGACAGCCAGTCACAGAGGCTGTTTGGAGACCACGAACTCTCCCCGTCGTCCCAGAGGGAGCAAGATTTATGACTCCTGGCCTCCAGAACTGTGACAGAATTAAGCCACCAGGTTTGAGGATATACATTCCAACAGCCTCAGCAAACCAGCACCTCACACTTTGGATTTATGTCCTGCCTGGACCTATAACAAGTTGATGATGAATGCTAAAGTATGGAGGCGGGAAGAAAAAGAAGGGCCACTTCCAAACACCTAACAGAAAGCCCAGGAATGAAATAAATAGTTATTTAGGATGAAAGTGAGTATCAGAACTGGAAGAATTTTTAAATC